TTGATGTAGTGGGAGGATTATCATCCAATTCGACAGAATCATGTTTTTAGGTGAGACCATTATGGACATCCCTGTTAAACATGAGTTGGACCCAGTAAGCTACACGGAAGCGTGAACCGATATGGATACAGATCGTTTTGGCGAGTTACTATGAAATCAGAGTTGGAATCTATGTATTCTAATAAATTCTGGGATCTTGTAGAACTTTCTAGTAGGGTGATACCTATGGAAGACAAGTTAATCTACAAAAAGATACCAGAAGATTTCTTAGTGAATAAATCATGAGTGTACAAGGGAATGTCATTATTTTTCTTAATTCTATATATTGATGACATCCTACTCATTTATAATGACGTGGAAGTTTTGTCATCAATAAAAAGGTAGTTGTTCAATTACTTTTAAATGAAGGATTTTTAAGATGTAAGCTATATTCCTAGGATCAAGCTTTTGCAAGATCAAGTTAAAAGGAAAATAGGCTTATCTTAATAATCCTACATTGATAAAGTTTTGACCAGGTTTGGTATGCATAACTCGAAGAATGAGTTCTTGCTTTATTGATATGGATTGCTCTCTCTAGTAAGTAGTTTTTCAAGACTATCAAAGGAGATTGAGCAAATGAGACTGGAACAATATGCTTCGGCATATAAGAGTCTCATATATGCCATGGTCTATACCAAACAGGACATCCGCTACAAAGTAGGGATAGTCAGTAGAGATCAGTCCAATACTGGACTTGATAACTGGTCTGTTGTGAAAAATATCATTAAGTACCTAAGAAGGACCAAGAATATCATACTTATTTATGGATGTAATGATATGGTCCTAGTCAGGTATGCTAGTTCTGATTTTCAATCAGAAGTAGATACTATGAGGTTCATGACTTAGTGTATGTTCACTTAATGGAAGGGAAATCAGTTGGTAGATTGTCAAGCAGATTTCAACTGTTGACTCAAACCTGCAGGTGGAATATATTGCAGCCTTAAAGGTGGCAATATAAGCCTATTGGTTTGATCTCACTGATTTAGAGGTTGTGGAGCATACTAGCCTGCCTATCGAGCTATATTGCGACAATAGTGCAGAAGTAGTCCAAACCAATGACCCAAGGTTCCATAGATGAACAAAATACACTGATAGGAAGTATCATGTTCTACATGATATTGTCCGGCAAGAAAATGTACTTGTAGTTAGAACATTGCATTGGAACACAACTTTGTTGATCCATTATCAAAGGTGTCGTTGATCAATAATTTTGATCATCATCTGGATAACATTGGAGTTAGGTGCAATTTGAATTGGCTATGAGGGCAAGTGGGAGCTGTTGGGATTTATATGCCCTGGCATAGCAAATTTCTGTTTGGATTAATTAACATATGTTCCTGAAGTTTCTGAAATATTTATGTTTTATACAATTGGTGAATTCAATGTATTATGTTTCGATTCACTATGAAATTGATAGTGTCCATGTAATTACAAGAAATATTTATATATATGTATGTGATGGCAATCAATGCATGATATATAAATAGTAATTATAAATTGTTCATAGTCGGTAATTATGGATGGACTCATAATTAATTAAGACTTGAACTGGATCCGCGTTAGGTTGAGATATATTGCGAGAGCCGTTGTATACAATTACTCCTTATCATCGTCATGGCATTTGACTCTTAAGCATGAGAAAAGTATAGACTCTTTTATTAATTAATAATTACTTTGATTTGTTCGGCGGATTCTTCGGGATCCTTAGACCGACACTTTGGGTAGTTATGTAATTAATAGTTAGAGGGTTATATTTTCAATATTTGCATCATTGCTACTTGTATTTATTTTGTATTGATTATGGTTGATCACAAAGTAAATTCGAAGGCCTTCGTGTGTTTTTAGACAAAATGATTTATTATATATTTATTTATTTAAATTATTTTTTTTGTCAAACAAATATTTTATTGTGATCAAGCAAGAAATAATCAAAGGTACCAAAATAAATATATTAATTAAGTAGTCGGATTGATGGCATTATTTATCCGATAACTAATTATGCATAGAGGGGTCAAAGTGCAACATTGACTTAGAGGTTATTTATTATTTAATTGGAGTTCAATTAGTTTCTTTTAGTGGAGTAGAAATTAATTTATGAATTAATTTAATTGGGTCCATGGACCGGGCCAATTATTAATTCATTGTAGCCAATAAAATAATAGGCCCAATGGATTCTCACTCATAGCCCAACTTGATATTGGAATCATATTAGATTTGAGACATATGAATTAGAGATGGAGTAGGATTTGTTGTTTCCTTTTCTTTATTTTTATGTTGCCTATAAATATACATGGTTTATGTATATTTTAGGGTGTGATCTTTAATGAGAAGGAAAAAGGAATTTATTTTCTCTCTCTAGAAAATTAGGGTTTATGTTCTCATCTAATGGAGGCTCCCACAAGCCTAGTTTTCCAAGGTCATTCATGGAGGCTTATGAGTGATTCCTAAAGGCAAAACAATTACCAAGAAGATGGAGATCAAAGAAGAAGGTATCTTGCTAAGGGATCTACAATAAGTGAGAACATTCACTTTAGAGGAAAGTTTTAAAGGTTTACTCAGACCTTTGATGTAAGTATTCAATCTGTTAATTGAATGATACATCATATTTTATTTTTATTTTTGCATAAAACTTATCTCTATGTAATGAATCAAGATCTATGAATCAAAATCCCTCAAAAAGTTTTTAAAACTAGCACGTTTCCCAACACACACACCATCAAACCACACCCACAAACCCACTGTCACCACCCTACGCCACCTTCATCAACCACGGCATTCCCCAAAAATTAAAAAATTCGTAACCTCACATGATCAAAACCACTGCCACCACTCCCCTCCCGCCACAACCATCGCCGCTAACTCACGCATGTATACACGCACAAACACACACATATATACGTTATGTTCATGAACCCCAACAACCTCTACGTCTTTACTATTACATGTCACGGGCTGTGTACCTTTTCATGCTCGATACAGTCATGATCAAGGTGGGATTTTTGAAATCGGTGTTCAGGTGAACCACTTTTGGTGTGCTCCTGTTCAGTTTATGTAAACCCATTTTCTGCGAGCTTTAGTCAAGCATAGCAGTTCCCGCAATTAGGATAAAACGTGTTGGTGCCAATGATAATTGGGGTTGTGGTTGTGGTTGTGTTTTAGGGTTATATCTCTCTCACTCTCTGTGTGTATATATATATATATATATATATATATTCGTGTCTTGGACTAAGTCTGCATCTCCTATCTCTGTGCCTATATATTATATATCTTGCTCGTGTATTGGACAATTTGGTATATATATACACATCTATAAATGTATCTGTGTTTCTTCCCCTCTCTCTGATTAACCAGGTTTTCATGAGAATTTTTCCAATCATTGGTATACAAACATAAGAAATCAAAGAAACCATCCCTTTGATTCCTTCAAATCATAAGAAATCACCCCCAAAATCACTTCAATTTAGTACCAGAACGTGACATCGCTCCAACCCCTGTTCTCAGCAGACATTTTCTCGAGAAAATCACGCAGCCAAGCTCAACCACAACCACCATTCAATTATGCGGACCATTAAATCATCACCTGAATGTCCGAAATTGATTCTCTCATGCCACCATCACTTTCTCTCCTCACTACTCCTTCACACCCACCAACCCCAACCCTCGTCCTCAAGGATTTTGCTCACTATGGCGATTAGTTGCAATCCATTTGTCTCTTCAAGTACATGGTTTGTTATGAGGTGCATGTTTGGGTGTGAGGGTAACAAAAAGGGCATTATTGTCCTTTCACATTCATAAGGGTCTTATGGTCATATAAACTTATAACTTGCATCATGTGACAGCACATGGGGTTTTTAACGGTTATATTTGGCCGGCAATTCCCCGGATGGGGTAAACTGCAACAAAAGTGTATAGTTTGGGAGATTTCTTGTATTTTTGGTAGTTTATGGAGTTAGTTGCAGATTTTATCATAATTCAGGGGAATTTTTTATACTTTTCCCATATATATATAAATAATACTTTAACTCAGAGTCAGAACTGACTCATTATTAATTTTTTGTGTCTCCAAAAGGGTAGTGGCGTGGATTATAATCTATGCATTTATGATGGCCAATAATTTAATGGATGACATTAGCCTACATACTACATAGAGCTAAATTGTGAGAATATGTATATAAATAATGCTTCAACTCACGAGTCAGAGATTAATTATTAATTTTCTTTCTTTCCCTTGCCTCCATATGGTATTTTCTAAAAACTATTAAATATAATAATATGATTAGTCAACAATAATCATAAATTTTGTAAATTTAATAATACAAAGAACAAAATTAAGAAAAAAAATATGCACTTACTTCGTCATAGTTACTTAAAATTCTTAAATAAACTTATAATTACAAATTTTATTATTTAGTAATAGTATAAACGAAAGATTTAATAATTTAAGGTTTTTAAATAAATAATTAAATAAAATTTCGTAGCAAAAAATATGTTGCTTAAAAAAAATAAAAAAGAAAAAGAAAAAAAGTAGTAATTATAAAAAAATTGAACCATATATATATATATACACAAACTGAATACATTATATATTTATGTAGAAAGATTTTTTGAGATCGGGCAAGAGTTCTTATAACAAAATTATTTGTATTATTATTTAATTTATTTATGAAATGAGTGAAAGATACTCCCCAAACAAATCTAGGTTTTGTATATCAAGCAATTTCTTTCTTTACTCTCTACTCTCTTCTCCACACGGCCTACTTCATAGAAGGTAAGAGCTTTTCTGACACTCCGACTTGGATCAAGGATTCCTTCCATACCTCCATGTGTGTCCCAAGGCCCATTCTATCCTCATACAGCAGCCTCCTATCTTTGGCCTTCATTATACCTTTTTATATTTTAAAAGATAAATATATTTTTCTTGCAGGGCTAATATTGTCTTTTTGGTCCCCAATTTACCCTAGGCTACTTATCATTTCAGCCTCCCCAATCGCCTCCATCTCTATTCTCGATCTCGACTCTGAACTTTCTCTCTCTCTCTCTGCTACTGCAAACTACAAAATCTACAAGAATCAGAAGTTCAAAACCCATATATTTCAGTTTATCTATCTGTCTGCAAGAATCAAAAGTTGAAAACCCATATCGGCATATCATTTCAGATTGTTCAAAAAATCAAAACCCATATATTTCAGTTTTCATCGCCCGCTGTTGTCCCGTCGTCCTCGTCAATGTATGCTGTCCCGCCGTACTCCATCATCGACATCGGTATTCCGCCGTGACGTCGTCCTCTGTCATCGACGTCGTCTGCCGTCATCGTTTGCTGTCCTGCCGTCCTTCCGTCCCACACATCGGTAGGTAGTGCAGATTTTTGGTTATTTAGAAATCCCCTTTTATTTATTTTTATTTGTTACCCTCTCTGCATCTTTCTTGTCCCTCTCTATCTCTGTTATTATTTTGCCTTCCATATTTACACATGGATAAATTTTTATATAGAAAACCCATATCTTTCAGTTTCCATCGCCCGAATCCAGTTCGGGTTCGCCGTTCGCAAGCTTCAGTTGCCGGCCCGCTGTCTCTCAACTCTCAAGCTTGCCCCCCTCCCTCTCTCTGCAACTGCTAACTTGTATGCATGGGTTTTGTTTTAATTTTTTTTTCTAAATCAACTAATCAAGGTCTGTAATTCTTGTTTTGCAAACTAAATCCTATTTGGTCAAAATTTTTAATGATATTTTATATATATATATATATTTTACAATATAAAGTAACAAAATTTGCATTGCATTTTGGGTTAATCATTGCATTGCATTTTGAGGAAATCACCGTAATCTACATTTTCTTTCAGCAATGTTTTTTTTTATTTTTTTTTATTTTTTAAATTTTATTTCTATAACTTCTATTTCTATTTTTTTAGTCACTTATGTCTACAAGAAAATTTGAATCTGGTCATGAAAAAAGAAAAAAAAAAAAAAGAATCTGAATTGGATTAGAAATCAGCAGAGATTGAATCTGAAACAATTTTTATCAACATGCCAAGCTTTTTGAAGATGGAAATCTTTTCAGAACTAAAAAAAAAAAAACATAACAAGAACTTTGACAGGCAAAAGTACTTAATATAGGGTAAAGCTCTAAAGTTACTTCTTGAAAATTAAAATACTTACAAAAAGCATGCTTTTGAATGAATTCCATAGTGTAATGAGTGGTGAATTGTACTACCTCACACTCTGCTTCCACTAGTAGATTCTCAAATAGGATTAGTAAATTGGTCAAAAGAAGAGATAGGGTAATGAGTGGTGAATTGTTCAGAAATAAATTGGTAATTTTTTTTATTAATTACCCTAATAGGATTTTCTATGCCTTAATCAGTCAATTGTCTAAAGAAACATTGTTAGTTAACTAAAATTGAATTAAACAATAGTTAATTTTGGTTGATATATTTTGATTTAGCCCACCCCATTGAGAAATCCTGAATGTTTTGTTTCACATAGAAATACAATTTGTGTAATGCACAAAGGATATATTTAATCTTTCTGTCATATTTTTATTTTCAAATTTTGGTTTTTGATTTTCTTTTGTTATTAGAATGCAGAATATCATGATATTGATTTGTTAATTTTGAAAATTATTCCTAAACCGACGGATTGTACTTTGTTATTGGCTATGTTACCCGGACTCGGGTACGGGTGTCGGACACGGGTGCTTGTCTAGGGGTCGGATTCGTCAATCTATCAATTTACAAGATACGTGGGCACGGCTCAAAAGTGTCCAAATATTGGACACGGGTACTTGGACACTTTGGAAAGTTAAAAAAAAAAATGGAATATTTTTTATGTTTGAGACATCAATCATAAAACTAAAAAAATAAATATATCAATTGTAATTTTTTATAAACATTTTATAATTATTACTACCATTTGTTTGCCTCATTTGATTGGTGGCATGGCCATAGTCATGGATATGCATTCCCGTGTTACTATTTGATGGGAACCTGTAATCAGAAATTTTAAGGGCTCCTTTTGGGCAAGTTTGGGCTGGGGCTAAGATGCCTTTTAATTGTCATCTTAGTCTTGACCTTTGGGCCTGTACAAGTCAAAGCACAATTAACAAGGAAGCCCAACTCAACAATATAAACAATATGTATATCAGTCATAACTCGTAATAAAGGTAAGGAACAGCTGTATACCACACACAGCTGTAGGTATTGCTTTCCAGCTTTAAGGCATTGAATTTTTTACTTTTATTAAAAAGCCCATTATTGTCTCTATCTTTTCAGATCCAAATAAATAGGTAAATAGGTGGCATCATCCTGGCCATTAAAGGCTGGGTATTAACAATTGCGTGAAACCATGCTCAGGTAGGTACTTGCAAAGTCAGCGCATGCGATTTCACAAACAAGAAGTCGTCTTCAACCTTTAGACCACCGATTCGAATCATAGCGCCATTGTTGAACCAGGAAGCTTCGTATAACTGCAGATCTATTAAATAAAACACGAAAAAAATCCCTAATCCTTCACAAGCATCGAGTTACACATCCTTTTGTTTATTTTCGTCATCAGCCGTGTCCGGTTGAAGAACAGAGGGTTGGACACATATCCCATGTCGGTGTCCGTGTCGTGTCGTGTCGACACGGACACTGGCCGTCGCCGGCGAGTCCAGGTAACACAGGTTATTGGATTAATTTAACATAAGAGTTGAGTATAATATGTGCTAATCACACTTATCCGTAATCACACCTCTTTCTACGGATAGGTGTCCAACATTTTGACCGAAAGCTTAGTTTGGTTGATACATGATATATATAGTATTTAGATGGTGATGTTTTAATTGTTACGAGTGAGATTGTGAAACCTCTTCCTCACAACTTGAGTGTTTTCTTATTTTTAGGGTTAGTATTGGGCCTAAACATTTAGAACAAGGTTCAAGAAACATGCCTCCTCAGTCATCAGGTAACAAATTACTTTTTTTTAAAAAATTTTAATTGGCATTTTTTTGCTACTGGTTACAATTATTTATTCATGTTTTACATACTAATTTTTTATTTTTGTTCTTGTTTCTACATACATTTTTATAATATTGTTATGATGTGATGCTCGAACAATTTATTAATGGGAATTAAAGACTTAAAAGTTTAGTTTTTAATTTCAGAATATATGTTTTACAAGTTTATTAACGCTTTTAAAACTTTTCCTCTTTTGTCCTAATAATGTAGGTCTCTTTTCTGAAGGAAGAGAGTTGATGGGAATGGGTGGAGTCGGCAAAAAGAAAATAGGTATGTTTTTTTTTTGCCTAGCTAATTGAATTATATAAATTCCCTTAGCAGTGATGTTGGTTTTAAAATGACCAATTATGATATGAAGTCTCTTTTCATTTTATCTTAATCAAATGTATATCTATGCAAGAGGATTACGTGATTCTAGATGACAATTCTAGATGAGAATGTTGATGTCAACGTTATAAGAATGTTGATGTCAACGTTGACTCTAGTGATAATGACTGATGATGTTGATGCAATCAAATTAAGTAAAAACACATAATACTTAGAATTGAAGGAAATTTAGAGTTGAAGACATACTATTGAGCATAGTGTCTATTCTTTTAGTTACAAGAATCTTTGGTCACTTCACACACGATTTTTCAGTTCATGAAATTCTGAAACAATGGTGTGTAATACGATTCATCTACTTGGGCTTTCTTCTTTTTCATCTCTCTAAAATCTAATTTTATCTGTGAAAAAGAAAAAAGAAGACTACCATTTTAATTTAACTTTATCAGTTTGAGCATTGACAGAGCTTTTGAAATGTTGAAACTGAAACAGCAAAGAAGAGAGAGTCCACCAATAAGAATTACCCAACTTAGGACAAAATAAGCTTTCTGAGCGTCTTGACTAATATTGGCATGGGAGACTTGTATAGATATGGACTTGCAGAGAGAAAGATATATAGTTAGGGGCACAAAAGTATACGACAACTGTGAACCAACGATAGGGTTGTGAGCTTTTTGCTTGTTTCATGCATCGGATCTAGGAAGTGTACAACAATGAAATGGAAAGCTTTGATGCACTTAAAGTTAAGAGACAGAGTCAATAATTAATATTATATATTTGTAACTTACTTTAGTAATCTAATATGATACTATGTATATCTCTCACACACACACACGTGCAGGGGGAGTGGCACATACCTGGATCTTTGGAAAGAATCATTGCTTCAGGGGCGTCTGAAAAGCTCTTGAACAATGAGATGGCCAAGGAAATGGAGCGGCACAGATCTCGGGTCTGTCCCGAACCTACTGGTTCACAAGGAGGTGGCCACGCTAGAGGCGGCGGCGGCCAAGGCCAAGGAGGAGGAGGCCAAGGCCGAGGAGGCGGCGGCGGCAGATAAGGGGCATCCAAACCCTTGATCCGGCAAATAAGGTGCAAGTACTGGGTGGTGGTGGTTGGTGGTGGTCTTCAAATGAATGAAACAATGAAAATATGCCAATGTATGAATTCACTAGTATGATTCAGAGACTGCTCCGTTCTCTCTATCTCTTCCAATATATTTATTGAATGTTGTCTGAAAAATGCTAATCAAATGAACTATGGATTACTGTTTTGTTTATGTGCCACCCATCAAATAGTGTAACAGTGGCTTAAATGGAGTTTCAATGGTTGATTATGAGTTTAATGGAATGTTTAGTGTGTCTATGGAATGTTAGATATCTATATATATGTAGACTGACTTATTGATGTAAATATTAATTATCAGATTTCATTGAGTATTGTCATGAGTCATTACCTGATTAATATATTTGTCACCCAAAAGCGTTGCTGCACTTGGCTAACAGGTAAATCAATTTTTTAAAGAAGTAAAAAAAAAAAATAGAGAAGGCCCGAGAACAAAAGGGCCAAAGGCCCACAAGCCCAGAGGCAAACAAACGACGTGCTCAACAAAAACACCCGTAACCCAAGGATCTACATAATTTCGGGACCTATTTATATATATAAACCCATAGTGCGTGTTTGGGGTTGGGCTCAACCAATAGCCGTCCGTCACACTAGTTAAGCCCCAGAATAGTTAGCCCAATATGAACTTAGCCCCCTGGCCTAGACACTTTGTTACTTGTTACCTTACATTCATTCTATATACCAAGTCTCTTATGATTCCGATGTGCGGATAAGCATCCCACACGATCATTTTATTTCTTTTTAAGCTTATTTCTTAATGCAGAGTAAAATATTACAAGAAAAACAATATGATTGAAATAATAATATTACAAACAATTTTTGGTTTCAAATGGGATCTTTGAGCCCCAATCTGTTGTGAAACTAATTACATTCTTGAAAATGGTATTCAAGGTTGAAAGGAACGACTACGATCAAGGAACTCAAACTCTGCCCTCGATCTTCAGAGGCAGGAGCAGTCTTAAGATTTTCCAATAATGATTACCCTTCTGAGCTGGAGTTCCCAAATTTCAATACAGGTGAATTTAGGAATAATATAGCAAGTCTTGAACAATTGAGCCCCATAATTTAAAGGTACTACACATCAACATACTGTTACAATAATTAGTGTAACATGCTAACATCTAACTGTTACTTGCTATAATTAGTGTAGCATACTAACATCCGTTTATACAGGAGCATAAAAAGGGTATTTATATAATCTAATAACTTAACAAACAACCAATTCAACATTTCATGGTGAGCCTCTTTTGCAGACTTCAAACATGTGTAACTCACGGAAATATCTTCACAAAGTCCCCATCAACCTGCAAACAGAACAGACCATTAGTTCAAAATTCTTTTTGGCTGATGACATTGTTTTATTAAGCACTCCTCTATCTTAGCCTCGTCTTCCTTAAAGTCCCCATACTGTATAAGCTCTTCAATCAATGGAATACTCCATCACCACCGGCAGAGACAGCCTATGCAAAGTGGGTCATGGAATCCACCCTACATGGAATTGATCCAACTCAATTTTAATTTTTTTAGACTGAAAATAATTTCTGCAAAACTGCATTCTCGTCAGAGTGGGAATTATGAAAATCTAATAACAAAGAAGACAGAATTTCCAATCTAGGAGAGTTGATTTCCAACTCAGGCAAAATATACCGAGAACTTCAAGTTGAATTGCTACAGGAAGTATTATGGGCCAGGTGCCCATAATACCGAACAAACTAAAATTTACAGGAAAAAAGTCCAAAGAATGGCCCAAATCAAAATTGTCCGAAAAGATTGGCCCAAATTTGTACAGATGATCAGAGACTTGAGTAGTTAGGTTGAGGACAAGAGCAAAAGCATCTGAGAGAGAGAAAGTAGATGGCAGTCAATGCTGCTATTTGAACTGACGCGGGAGGATGAGAGACAGATGAAAAATGAGAGGGAAAGCTATGCGGTAGGCGGGTCCCACAACACGTGAAAGTAATTGATTTCTCCTAGTCTTGGGTTAGCATTGCAGAGACAGTGTAATATTTGATTACTGAAATTGCACTAGCAGGGCAAATGATGTACGCATCAATTTTGAAAGGAAATGAGGGGAATTTCTATTTTTTAAAGTTAAAAAATAAATATATATATATATATATATATAATTTTAAAAGAGCAAATTTTTGTAAACCCTCGAGCCTTAAAAAAACAGGATCATAAAATCTTAACTAGTTTTAAAAACTTCCAACAACATTAAGGGCATGTAAAATGATTAAATTAGCCTTATTATATTTTCTTTTATTTAAAAAACTAAAAAATTATATTTTTAAAATTACAATATTATCCTTTAGAACAAAAGGACTGAGTTGGACATCAAAACACAGTCGTTTTTTTTTTTTTGGAGCTTCATCTCTCTTGTTCCCACTAATATTTCCGCCGCCTCTGTAGACACAATGATCTATCTGAAACGACGACGCTCCACTGCTGGGAGAAGTTGGCGCCGCCACTTCCTCCGCCATCGCAGTCGCCGGAAAACCCGTATTTCCGGATGAAACCCCTTCCAAACTTCCTATTTTAACAACCACCACATCAAAATCGATCAAATCAACCCACAAGCCAAATACATACATACATATATAACACACACAATACACCACACTATGTGTTTTACCAGTATCAAAAGGCGGCGGCCATCCGTGACAGGGAACTGGAGCGAGAGGGAGGAGATCGAGCTCGATGGAGACTCTCTGCTCGTGACTACTGTTTCTTGTACTTCTGATTTCTGATTCATCATCGTCTTCATCATTCTCATGATGTTGTTACTGTTGTTGTTTTCCTCCATTAGAGATGATACCTAAGGCTAATGGGAAAGCTAGAGCATTTGTCGTCGAGTTAATTTCTTGATCTTTAGGAAAGAAGCCAAATAGCTTTGATGCGTGACCTAAGGTTAGCACCCTTTTGATTTCTGAATCTTATAACAAAAAACAAAAAAATAATAATAAGATTTATAGGCACTGTATTTTCTCCTATCTCTATTCTCCCCATCGGCTATAGATTTGCTCTCTATTGTTGAGATTCGGGACCTGTTGCTTCTGATAATATGCCGTAACAAAAAAAATATATAAAAAATAAATAATAAAATTTGTTATCGTTCTTACTGTCACCGGTCCTTTATCTCTCTGCTCCGCTTCCATTGACGTTGTTGCCATCACCGGCGGGCCAATCCCTGGTCACTAGCCTCGGTGCGTTTTCACCGCCGCTCCTTGAAGACTGCCGTTTTTGTTATCATCTTGCTGTTAAACTCGCCGGAATCTGCCATAGTCGCCGGTGACCTGTCCTCTCTGCCTAATCCCGGTTCAAATCCTGCCGCCTTACGGCCGAACCAGTCACGCACCATCACCGGTGACCTGTTCCTCCCTCTGGTTCAGTCCGCACCAAATGAACATGCCTAGATTAATATTAACTCAAAAAAAACACACCCAGATAAAGAAGGAGAAAATGGTTCAATAATTCATAAAGAATCTCAAATTTATTGATAAATCAAAAGTAAACAAGAGCTTACTATGCTCAGATCAGATCTAGAGGCCATAGGAAAGGAATGTCTGAATGCACTCAATTGAATCTGAGCACAAATGAGCCTGGTGCAGACGAATACAATGAACATCGGACTCACATCGAATCCAATCACTATCATCACCAAATTTATCCCCGAAGATATCATTTTTCTCCTTCTACAATTAACCTTCAAGCTTCAAAATCACTTCCCCTGCTTCCTATAATGGAGGAAACATGGCGGCTCGGGCAGCCTTCTAAGGCTTCCTGCAACGCGCATGGAGGAGGGAGAGAAGATGAGTAAAATGTGAAGTAACTTTGGTGGGTTTTTACTATTAAAGGCTTGGGGGTATTTTCGGCATAATATATTTAAATACACATCACTTGTTTGGCACATGTGACAACAGGGTATTTTCATCACAAAAGTCAAATTATCAAAGCAATTGTTAACCACGCGCTGGGTTAACAGCCCCAATTGATAAAATTGGGGTAAAATAATAACGTTATTATATTGTTGGGAATTTTTAAAACCAGTTAGGGTTTTATGATCAGTTTTTTAAAGTATCAGGTTTACAGAAATTTGCCCATTTTAAAAATTAAAAAAGAAAAGAAAAGAAAATGTTTGGAAAATTTTTGTTTTTTGTTTTTTAGTTTACAACTCTACGTCTAGCTAGACATGTACAGTCTAAAAGCTGATTGGTCAACAATATATACAGATGACAGGGACAACAAAAACATTTAAGAGAGAGAAAGTAGATGGAGAAAGAGATGAAAAATGAGAGGGAAAGGTCTGTGGTAGGTGGTCCCACAACACGTGAAAATAACTGATTTTTCCGAATGGGGGATTAGCCATGCAGAACCAGGATAATGTTTGATTACAGAAGTTGCACTATTATGGCAATTGATGTACCCATCAATTTTAAAAGTTAAAGTGAAAAAATAAAAGTAACGAATTTACTGTTATAACATTTTATATTTCAAATACAAGCTCCATATTCAATTTTGGGTCACCATAAATTACTTTTTTTTTTTGGAAAATTAAGCAAATTTATTAAGTAAAGGGGATAATTACAACCAAAAGATGAGAACAAAAGCCAAAGAAATAGACCCAACAAGGGAGAGGCCCAGCTTCAACCTAATAACCGTAATTAACGGATTGTTTGGCCGTTAATTGAGGGTATTAGGGAACAATCCGGTTAGTAGCCCTAGCAAAGATAATGATCATCGGAGAAATTATCAGTCCGACGGCCTCGGAGGAGGACGGCAGCAAGCAGGGGAGAGATTCCAATCTGAGAGAATCTTCCTCGAAGCAGCACAGTCGTGTAAGAAACCCAATTTGAGCGTTGCAGTGATAGTTGCTGAGATTCGAGCAAGCACCATTCTTTGAGATGATCTCTTACCTCTAAAAATTCTTTCCTCCCAGGTGTGATAAACCATGGATGAGAGGCATAATTTGCGATGAAGATTTGCTGGGGAGTTCTTTTTCCATTGCGTAGAAATCAATTGAATAAGATCCTCCCAGTTAGTGATTGCAGTGAATAAGTTACACCTGATTTTGATGAATCGTCAGGTAGGAGACACAAAACTACATGTGAGGAACAAATGCTGGTGTGATTCCGAGTGTGATTGACATAGAGCACAAAGGTTGATGTGGTTGGACATTGATCTGCTATCAAGAGTGGGTAACCTGGATTGCACAGCTAACCATAGGTTGAATTTCATCCTAGGGATTGTAGGAGAAATCCA